TTCGGTTCCGATCCTGGAGCCAGTCTCTTCTATTCGACTGTTCGCTGGCGGATAGGCACTGCTGGACGGTGTCCATTTGGAGTATTTGCCGAACAGATACGATTTCTCCCTGTCCGGTTGGTAGTCGTCGACGGCTGCAACGGACGACGACTGCTGGTGGTACGCACTGGACGAAGGCACGTAGCGATCCTGCACAATCCGTCGCCGGATCTTGTCCACCAGGGTAAGCGGCTTTCCTTGGTCCTTGTTCTGCCAACTGTCTTCGGCACGCCCCGCAATCGACCCGACGTTGTTGCTGTACTTAGAGGCACTCGGCGAGTAGTCGAACGTCTTCCTGTCAGTCGGCTGCGCGATTGAGTTCCTGGTCGCCGCCGGCTTAGGGCTGCCGCTTTTGTTGTCATTGGTCGCAGAGGCGTACGAGTCGGTGAGCGTGTCAGGAAAGTGGTGGACAGAGGACACGTAGGCTGGCATGCTGGTCGCTCGGTACGCGTTTCGCCCCTCTGCCAAGGGAGACGCTTCGTGGGTGCCCCCCTTGCCAATCTGATTTAGGTAACGCTCGACCGACTGGGCCCGCTTCGCTATTAGACCCGCTGCGCCGGACGACGGTCGAAATGTCCTAGCGGACATCGAGGTCGTTTTGTCATCGTCAGCCACGTCATAAACCGAACGCCTGTACGTCACGTTGTCGTCGAAGCGCGGATATCTGTACTGGTTCAGGTTCTGAGACAGTACTCGGTCTCTGTCACGGCTATTCTTGACGCCGGTACCACCCACGCAAGCGCGACCGCTATCCGCCTTAACATCCGATTCGACCACTGATCGAAATTCACCTGTATCTGCCTCGTACCAAGACTTCGCCTTGCGATTTCTGGCATTGACACGAGCGTTGTTGCTTTTCACTGCTGACGAGTCGCCTGAAATCACCTGAGTTGAACTTTACACGCGCTGCTAACGTGAACAAAATATAAAATTATACTTAAAACTTTATCGAATAATAATCCGCAAAATAAACGCTGTCAAATCACTTTCATCGGACGGTCTAATCCCCCTGCAATCCCACTGGGAATGTCACTAACGGGAAGACAACCCATAAATGTTCCTTAATTAGAGGCATTTGTAGTATTATAGATGGAGATGATTGTCTACATGTATGGATTAACGAGAAAGAGTGTGTGAGGATACTCCTCCTTTGCCTTCGTTGTTCTGCAGTCTGAACCATTTGCGGGATCATAGATTTTCTCTATGTTCGCATAGGTGCACATATATTAGAACCTAGACGTGTATTTTGAAATAGCCTGATGCGAGGGAATCGAGAATGGCAAAACTAATTTATGAACATCTACAATCTGATCTACTGTTTTTATGACATTCATATGGGACAGCTGAGCAACTCTGCAACAAAAAACAATAGGTGCAGTCTGAGTGTCAGCTAAAAGGCAAATGAGTGACTGTTGCTGCTAACCCCTCCCCTTCCTCTGAGTTAGAAATTTGTGGAATGGCTTCATACCTCGGAGAATGTATCAGCCGTTAATAAAATGTGAAAAGATTCATAAACTGTTCCAGAGCAACTTATGCGCAACTCCATTGCAACAGAAGCGATTTGAACCGAGGAAGAAAACATCAAACGTCTGAACAATAGTTCGTTTCATGGCCATATATGTGATCAACAGTATGGGTGAATATTTGCACAAAACAGTGCTAATCGGATGACCGGATGACATGATCTCACGCCTTCACTAGCAGAGGGAGAGACAGTGAGTGAATCGGCATGTTTAGCGTCACCGAATGGTATGAAATCGTTCGCTTGCTGATGCTGATGCAGCACACCTAGTACTGCATGCAAATGATGAGGGTCGATATAGCAACAGCAAAGAAAGGAATGTGTCGAACCGTTGGGATGTAGGTATCCGTCTCACATACGTCTTTAGTTGCTACTATAGCGTTCTTGTTTTCGAGAAAATTACGACGCGGCACTGATTTCAGTTTCACCGCCTTCAGTCACTGGTAGCCGTCTTATTTTACTGGCAGAGTGTAGAGCTGGTGGCAAGTAAAGCGTTAAGTTACCTAGTTATTTTGCACAAGACGATACTCGTTTATCAACCTTGGAAGAAGAAATGACGAATTACAGGACACGACGGTTGTAAGTTTGATGCCCCGCTGACTCAGCAACACCGCCACCTCGTACTTCAGTACACACCTTCATAAGGCGAGAAAAAATATAATAAAAATTAATCTCGAGAAACATCTTTTGTCTGTGAAAAAGATCAGTGAAATGGAAGAAGAATCTGAAAAAATCGAAATTCGTTTCAATCAACTTGAACGTCTCGAGGTGAACGGTGACATTGGAAAAGAAATTCCTAAAGCAGGAACGGGCGAACTTCGACATGAATGAATAAAAGAACGCAAGAACGAATGGACGAATGAATGGAAGAACAGCCTCTTTAGCTATTCACCGAATGAAGATGAAAAAAATTCTCGCCTCATGAAGTGTTTCCCTTTAAATCATTTTAAACAAAAACGTTATCTCATAGACTGTGGAAAAATGACAGTTTACTTCTGTGAGTTTGAATTCCATAGACTATCGGTTTCCTTGTATTGAGGAACATCATTAACTTTCTGAACACGAAGAGAAAGAGAACTTAGTCTCAACTGTTCTCTATTTAAATACTCTAGTTTCCATACATGGCAGCGCCGTTCACTCAATGGCTCACGGTTCCCCATCTTTATGAAGATTAATTATCAATACTTACCATTAATCAAAAATGAGTTTCATCAGAAGACACAAAACAAAACATATAAAGAACAAAACATATACAGGAAGAGTAAAGTGTAAAAATGAAAAGGCCGCAATATGTGATATTTCGAAGCTTCCAGAACAGATTCAAACCAATCATTCCTCTAACGAACTTTCAACCGTTAAATTTAAGGTTCTTACCTGTTTCTGCGCTGACTCCTTCTGGATCATGATGGAACGAACTTGACCGTTCTCCAATCGGATACAAAACGTGCGTATTGATCGGCTTGTTCAAATATGACCAATAAAGCTCGTTGTTATAGCGTGGACGAAAATAGGATTTTGCTCCTCCGCGACTGTTGTAAAACGTGTAAAACGAATCAGCAGGAGTGGTCGTTTCGTTACTCGACGCTTCCTAATCAACAGAATATTATCACGCCAAAAATTGGTAAACTGATATTTTAAGTCATAAGTAGTTTGTCTTGCGGCGATCAGCACATAAACTGGCAAACACGCTACAACCAGAGTCTGCCTGAATCCCCCTCCCGGCTCTCCAAGACAGCTAGGAAAAGAGGCGGCGCATTACACAATAAAATATTCTCGTAGATGAGTTATTTGATATAGCACCTGCATGGCATAATGATAAACTCACTGATACTTTCAGAACCAAAGCGTCGTTTAATTACAACGACAACGAGGACAGGGTGTTATTGTCGCTTGTTTCTTGATGATTCCGTCTTAAACTCAATCCTCACGTTGCGGTACGGTAACTGTCAATGAAGTCATTGGCGACTAACGGACCATAACAACGCCATTAGTTAAAGATGCATATAACAGCATACCGAAGCTGCATAGAAACTGCGATGAAGTGACATGTCAAAGCGATAAGCCAGCAGCCGAACCGGTGAGCAGGCATTAAGCAATGGGAGAAATGCTGTATCATACTGTAGTGATAAACAGTTACTCGTGGAACACCACTGACGGCAACATTTACGTATGCAAGAATAATTTTAAAAGCCTACATTTGTAGCTTAGAACTGGAATCTGTTTCTCGTATCATTTAACTACAGATAAGGAAGATCCATTATCCTTTCAGCTCATAACGGACTATTCCTGAGTGAGGAAACTCAAAAGTATCAAAGGCAGTTTGACGAAGAATGTTCACCGCTGAGAATATTGCATCACTGCGATGTTACTCCTGGTAAGCGCACGGAAACCGTTCATTAACAATTTCACATATCACTCACTCATGGCACACAAAAATTTCACTATCACACCATATTAATTGGTGCCTGAATGCTTGAAATGAAAAACTGTTTTTATGACGATAATTGTACTACTAATCAACTTCTTACCACCCCTTTGCATAGTCTTTCAAAAAAAAATGAGTACACAGGATTTAAAGCAAGTCTACACCCCAGTTCCATAATTTCCACACCACACTTAGGTTCTAAACCTGTATTTGTTCCTCGTCCTGAAAGAGTATCTGCGAAAGTTTGCAAATTTCTAAATGTTTTCATATCAAGAACTCTGCCTGATGCCTTATCCATAACACGTAAACCGCCTGGCCATCAATTTCGCGTCCAAATTAAAACTTATGTGTACTCGCTCCCTGCAGGTGTAATGGGATTAATAACTGAAAGACGTGGGCTTCTCAAATAACAATTCGGAGAAACAGCGGGACAAGTACAAAACTGCAACTAGGTTTCGGAGGTTTTGGACACACGGCATTTGACCAAAGAATTAAGAAAGACAGTGCCCCCGACAAAAGCACAGCAAATAAAGCATAAGTTTTTTCATTTTATGCTTCTGATGATAAGGACTCGTTTTTCCTTTGTGCAGTCAATTTTTTTCCCGTCAGTTCATTTAATTTTTTAAACATCAAGACAGCTGCTGTTAGCCGGTGGGTCGAAATGTGTTAAAGAACGAGTTGCTGAAACATCATCGACCTACGGACAAAGTTTCACATACTACTGACTCGTTTCTGAGAACACACTTGATCAGCATGAACGCACACATGAGCAGCAGATGTTCAGGCGACTAAGTCATGAGGAACATCTCATGCCAAATGTTGAAATAACAAACCTGCATCACTCAAGCATAATGACAGCTAATTGCTGATAGATTCAAAGTGAATGCCAGTGTGACACAGTGTCAATGTCAGAACATAAATCCGAGCAACAATGAGAGTCACATCAACCAAAGTCAAGAAATAGAACCAACCAACACGATCACCCTAAAAAGGCAAACATTTTTACCACGAACAAATGCAAAAAATCTTTTGCTAGAATGGATGAATGATCCAAACGATCCAGCAGCCGCGTACATGCTTGTCCAATCCTGCATTGTTTATGTGTTGAGTCAGAAATGGGTTAAAATTCATACATCCTCGCAGATAGTGAAAATATGCGAGATCTTAATTTCGAACGTTCGATGGTTTATGCCATGTTTCCAATACCCATTCAATTATGCTAAAATATTTGGCTTGTTCGCCCTATAGCTTTTGAGATTATTTGAATTCTTTATGCGAGTAGAAAGCTCTTCATCACCAAAAGCTTTAAAGGGTACATATAAATTTCATGAAAGAAAATCCCGATGCTTCAGATCGAGCCGGATCCATCTTCAAGGAGATCGTGCAACAACAAATGCCAAAGTAATGCCAGCCTGGTACACTCATACTCTAGAATGAACCTCAAGTGTAAACATGATCAACGAATTGTTGATGGTCAATGTAGTTCAAGCAAAAAATTAAGATGTATTTCAGTCTTGATTTCCCCCCAACAATACATAGACATATGAACAGAGGCACCGGCAAAAGCTTAACATCAATCTGGAAGAAAACAACAATGGAGTTATTAAGGAAGACCATTCAAGAAGAATGAATTATATCTGTATTTATCAGTTTTAGCTACAGTGTTTGTAAGTATCAAAGATACTTTGCTAATATTTGTATCTAAAGTAATGGCACGATTTGAAGGTTTTTCACCTGTTATTGCATAATGCCCCGAAGATGGATCCAGCTCGATCTGAAACGTCTGGATTTTGTGTGACGGAAGTCATATGCGAATTAAACCACTGGAAGATTTTAGAAATGGTTGACCTATGGAAAGAAATCAGATCAAGTTCTCTCAAAGTTTACAAGGCCAGTTTCGAACGTAGAAGAATCAAATGGTCTATAGATATGCTAAGAAACTTTGTTCATTGCGAATTAACGCACATATCATTTACACTGCGCATTCCTGCTTAACATTTGGAAAGAAAACAATTACACCGTTGTAGACCCTTAGAATTTCATAATTCATAGATTTTTGGTGGCAGTGAATTCAAGGAGTAAATTACTCATGAAGGAAGGATTCCAAATCAACAGTAACGGGCATGGCGAGGGTTCAAATGGAAAATCTTTATATACACGAAAACCGTGTGTTCATCAATAGGGCACACATACAGAGAGAACGTATTATTTTCGAAAATGGTTGCTTCTGAATAAAGTTCTCCTTCGTGCCTCCAGCCATTATCTGCCAGACAATTTCCGTTCTCTTCTTCTTTTAACTCAATATGGATCTGGTTTATTTTACGCGAAGAATCAAATTCCTCAGTTCGAAACGGTTTATGTATGGAGAAGCCTCAGTCTGATCTGAATTTTGCATTTCAAG